ATTCAGTTCCAGTGCCAAGTTATGGACAATTTCCTGATTTTAAAATGAAATTTTGTCCTTGAAGGATCTAGGGAACGGCTAAAGATATGAACTGGAGACTTGTTAGAGATAATAGGACATGACTTCTAGATTTGCAAAATTGCCTTTTCGTGCGTCGTCAGTACTTCCGGTCGCTTATGGAAGTGTTCAAAGAAATCGTTAAATTTCAACTTTCCTTTTTTAAATCAATACTTACATCGCATTATTGCATCTCTTTTGTAGTTTTGAAATATGTTGGTCCCACCGAAAACAAAAACATCATCTTCCGGATATAAGAGAAAAACTACATAATTTGAGTATTTTTCTTTCCCATTAAGGACCCTCTATACACTGATGAAAAATGTTTTTTGGACTTTGAGAAAATTATATAGCGTAAAGGAGGTTACTTTGAAATTAATTAACCCATTTTTAATATAGGGAGCGTGCCTTTTTTATTCAGGAAAAATCTTCAAAGACAATGAAGTAATAATGAAGAAAAATTGCCTTTGCTTACTCAAATGGATAAAATACATGTAAATAAAGTTTTCAAATGCTCTATTTTGGTCTAATAAAATGTTTAGAATACTTGGATTTATTTCAAATTATGTAATACAGTTCAGATTACAATTTATTCTATCCATATGTCAAATGGTGGGTCAGTCTAATTACACAAAAGTACCCTGAAAATAGGGTGCAGTGTAGAGAGGGTCCTTAATATCTTTTGTAGAAAAAGTATTTGAAATGAATTTTAAATATGTTATTCAGACTGCAAATGTCTAGAGTAATGTCAAATATCTTTGTAAAATTCTCTTCTGGTCGCGTGTTTTTCTGTCCTCAAAATGAGAAGTTGTCTGAGCAAGATCTCGGAAACGGTAAGAGATTAAGACACCAGACTTATATGAGCAACAGATCTTAAGATGTAGCCAACACCATTTGGGTTCAGAGCGTCAGCGTCACTTCCGGTCGTCACAGGAAGTGATCAAACAAATCGAAAATTTAAATTTTTCTTTATTTAGTTAAAAATTGCGTCACTTTATTGCATCTTTTTCGCAGATTCGAAAGATGTTGGTCCCACTGGAAACAAAAACAACAACTTCCGGTTATAAGAGAAAAACTAAATAATTTGAGTATTTTACTTTCCAATAAATATTCTTTATAGATAAAGTATTTGAAATGAATTTTAAACATGTTATTCAGACTGCAAATGTCTAAAGTAACCTCAAATACTTTTCAAAAAATTCACTTCCGGTTGCGTGTTTTTCAGTCCTCAAAATGAGAAGTTGTCTGAGCGAGATCTCAAAAACAGGTAAAAGATTAAAACACCAAATTTTTATGAGTAACAGACCTTGAGGAGTAGGCAAAACCATTTTGGTTAAATGCGTCAGTCGTAACTTCTGGTCGTCACAGGAAGTGATCAAAAAAATCAAAAATTTTAACTTTTCTTTTTTAAATTAAAGTTTGCATCACTTTATTGCATCTCTTTCACTGTTTTGAAATATGTTAGATTCCACCGGAAACAAAAACGTCAACTTCCGGTTTTAAGTGATAAACTAAGTTTTTTCGATATTTAACTTTCTCATAAATATTACTTATCGATAATGTACTTGAAATGTTTTTATGCATTTTGTAGATACTGCAAATGTATATTGTATAATAAATTAATTTGATATTGTATAATAAACTAATTTGATATTGTATAATATGATTAAAACTAATTGTACTCTTGGGGGGGGGGGATGATATTGGAATGAATTGTAGCTTAAAACCAGTCTGACTTTAAATCTAAAAAAATCAAGTATTCAAAAAAAAAAATATCTTAATTCTGGTAGATAGTCCCTACAAGTCTAAGAGTAATGCAGGAACCTTATTAAAAATGTTGCATCAAGATTACACAAGTTTTTTTTCTTTTTATAAATCTTTGTAACAAATTTTAAAATAAATCTTTGTTTTCAAATTTAATTTCAGAATGACATAAATATGCATTTTTATTGCACTACAAAGCAGATAGTATGTATAGATCCATTCATCCATTGGGAGTATAATGAGTGGACATGCATCCAATTAAAGATTAATTAATGAGTTAAGTTTAGGAAGGCTAGCTGTCTCAATCATTTCTTTTAGAGGATCTCTGATCAAGCAGCTCTTATCTGCTACAGATGGGCATTTGTCAAGCTCTAACACAACCAGTTTAGGATCTATAATGTAATATTTGTTATAATTAATGCCTACACCACATGAGATGTATAAACAAATATTATAAGTAATGGAAAAATCATTGAAATCCTTGTATCAAGGTTGACATGATTTTCTTGCCCTCTTAACTGTTTATGACAATTGAACAATATTTGACGGGCGTATCATGCTGTGGCGGGGCACTTTATTAACGGGTAAAATTCATTCAACGTCCGATAGAATTTTCAAATACAAGTGAAATATTTAGGTCTCTTGCGTCCGACCTAGTATTTTGTATGCAATAATATTATAAGTAAGGAAGAAAATAATACAAACTCAAAAGTACTTAATTTTATTTCGATTTTCCTGACAATTAAAAATGTGACCTCTACGTACAATTATCGTGATAATTATATACATGCTGTTTAATGTTCATGAAAGAAATAGCAACTCGTTAAATAATAACATTAGAGAGATGAATAAACTGTTTCTTTAAATTTTGCGTATTAATAATACGCAAACAAAGTGGTCTTTTCGACATTCAAAATGCATTGAATTTGAAGTGAATAAGTGAAAGGCAGTTAAGACTAGCTGATTAAAATGAGCGAGTGATAAACAGTAAGACGAAATCATATAAAGATTCGAAATGATTTTAAAGTAATTTTCCAAAAAGTGCAATTATCTTGATATCGAGAAGTACAATGTTTATAAAAATAAATATGCAACTTTCTTGTAATTCAGCGAATAAAATATAAATTGAAATGTACTAGCGATTTAATCAAAGATATTATGAAATAATCTGAAAGATTCAACATATTTATCCACTCATCACTTAGTTTACAAAATGTATTTGGAATGACCATTCTATGATTTGTTTTGTGTATGATCTTAGGTCGCTGGTTCACATGCCGATTGATCACCAGAGACCTCCTTTGCCACGTGCTATCAAGGGAAGGGTTACATAATTGTAAACACACAAGGTGAATGTAAAAGGCGTGTACTTAATGGCTGTGAATAGTCTGTGTTTAAAGTTTTGTTTTATTTTTTAACTTTATTGTTTGTTTCTATATGATAAGAAGAAAACATTATCTTTTTTCCCTGTTTAGTAGACTGGTTTATCCAAATTTGAAAATAAATGAAATAAAAGGGAAAGTTGTCAGTAAATAATTTGGAAACAAAGCACAGAATACTTCAAAAACCTGATCCTAAAGAATATAAGCATCTAACATAGCTAGGTTTATTATTTATAGTAAGTTTATTCTAATTACACACATAAAGAGCTCTTGTTTACTTGCTGAATGAAAACACTTACCTGTATATGTGTTATGCTTCTAGCTCATTTAGAACACAAGACTTAAACAAATTAACATTTTCTTTAAATCAATAAGATGTTAAATAACAACTTTAATTTACGGCAGATTTTTCGAAATGTTTACCGTTTTTGAGTTATAGAGCAACTTTAGAGGGCTCCAGATCTCTAATTTTTATGGGCCAGACCCTTTTTAATGGTGTCAAATGAAAGGCCTTAAAATTTTGCACAACTTTTATTATACATGTTTTATCAAAATATTTTTAGTTAAGAAAATAAAAAGGAAAATATGTGTCAGTTTTCTCTCTTTTAGGTGTACTAATTTTTTACCCCTCTCTAGAGCCATTTTGAATACAGAAATTGAAAAACAAAAACCGATGTGCACAACTTCAATGCTTCTGTTATTTAAATTCGGTAGAATTTCTACTCCAGCTTTTGTAGTCTCGGAGCCTTTGTCTGGAAATGAAGCCTCCTAAAATTTCATTTAAAGGGAGATAACCCAAAAGCAGAAGTGGATTTTTGAAATGTTTGACAGCATTCTGGTAGAGTTTTGTAACGTCTATAAACCCTGCAAATTTGAACAAAATCCTTTGAGAAATGAGAAAGATATGAGGTCTCAAAGTTGGTGTCTAGGGAAAAAAAAAGAATAATAAGAATAATCTTAACCATCAGAATCAGAAGAAGGTCTCCTGCTGGAGCGGAAGACCTTAATAATCTTAACCATCAGAATCAGTAGAAGGTCTTCCGTTGGAAACGGAAGACCTTAACAACATACAATCAATCTTAAGCAATCATTTTGTTCAAATTACTGCCTCGCATAGAAGTTCAACCACAAATTGCAATCAAAATTTGACACAGGAATGCATGTGTATTGATTTAAAAAAAAATACCTGATGCAAACAGAAGGGCCAAAGTGACTCAGGTAAGTGTTGTGGTCCTTGGGCCTCTCGTTTCGTTCCAGATGGGCCCAGAAAGTGCTGATAGCCTGAATAACTCATGATACTTAGTAACTCATGGTGCTCATTTGACTGTCAATAACCATGGGCCTTTTGTTTACATTTGCTTACATTATTTAAGGACAGATGATTCCTCAGTAATATATAATTTCTTCTAAGATTTTGTCATTGAAGTATTGCTACTTTAATACGTTTACTCGCAAAAAATTGAGGTACCTTACCATGAATTTGTGCAAGATACCGGAGGTGGTTGTTTCCTATAAAATCCTTTTAGAAAACACTGAATTTGCCAATATCACATTTTATAGTGTTTCAATTTTTAAAAGACAATTAGAAACCAGTTTAGAAATCAGAAAGTATTTAAAATTTTTAATATTTTCCATACAATATTAAGATATACAAAACAGATATTTGAGGAATGTATCGTCTGACCTTAAGTGAAAAGAGAAAGAACTATCAAGAAATTTATGTTTCTTTGAGACTTGTTTTTGAAAATTTGTTTAATTGATAGCATTATGATGATAAAATTAACTTTATAAAATCAGGATTCTGAAGAGGAGGGTCAGTCCCAAGAAGTCTGTACAGAACCACTATATGTCCTCCCATTGTTTTCATTGTTGTCCACTGAAAAACAGGCAAAGGTGAGTACCTATAAACCATCTTAAAGTAATAGGGGTTTAATAGTCATGACCATGAATATGACTAAATTAAGCAAAGTTTTAATGGAGAACAACAGTGCTTGGCATTACAGCTTTTCCCCTTGTCAAGTATGAGTGAAAAAAATTACAGACAAGTGAATATTGCTGTGCATTTGTCCAATAGGGTGATTGATTTTTAGTAGGGATGTCAATTTTGTCGATAATTCATATTCGAATATTCAATGAAAGTATTCGAATATATTCAAATATTCGATAAAATAAATTAAATCTGGTTAAGTTTAAATATGTATCATCCTACTTTCATGAAAGGTTTAGCGTAGGTATTCTTATATTGGAAGTAAAATTGTATGAAGACTTTTGTAGGTGTAGAATAAGAAATTCTTTTTGATATTTATCAATGTTTGAAATACATATTTGATTTAAATGTAGAAAAGTACAGTTTTAACAAATTATACAAACATGTGTTTTTATAGTAGCTCCAACTGAGGAACCAGTCGTCTTACCAAAGGCAGGATAGTCGTATACTGTTCAGATTTCAATATGTGCAATTAATTACAAATATCGGCCTAATAAGAAATATGATCATAATCTTTGATACAATATTTTTAAAATATAAACAAACATTTCCATAGATAATTTTCCTAGGTAATTAATTATTTTCCCGATAATGAAAATAAAATTCAGGATTATGTACAACCCGTGATAATCAAGTAATTTACACATTTATTCTGAAACTGAGCTGTTTACAAAATTTAATTACAGACAACTTCCATCGAACATCCTTTCAATGATCAATTACATTTATTAAGATAAGTATTCTCTTCACGTCTTTTAGACATTCTAAGAAGATTTTCCTTTTGTTGTCCTTGATTCTATATCCGATTGTATTTAAAAAAAAAAAAAGTATGAAAATACGTTTTGTATTATACATAAAGCATTAATGTATAATTCATTAACACCTTACTCAAAACAAAATAATTTAGTAGATCTATACAATAACGAAGAAGTGAAAGAAATCAGGCGATCAAAATTGATCGCTTGTAAATTAAAAGGGGATATCTAATCAAAATTTATAAATCGCAGTAATTCTTTTAATGAAATCTGAAAAATACCGAATATTCGAATCTTAAATTCATATTTGAATATCAACTCATTGAATGAATATTTGAATGTTGAATATTTGTTGACATCCCTAATTTTTAGCTCACCTGAGATGAAAGCTCTTTGTCTGTAGTCTAGCTGTCCGTCTGTAAACTTTTAACATTTTCAACTTCTTCTTAAAAACCGCTGGGTCAATTTCAAACAAACTTGCTATAAAGCATCCTTTGGTGAAAGGGATTCAAGTTTTTTCAGATTAGAACCCCCCAGTTATAGGGCAGGGCTACAGTGGGTGATCAACGTTTTACATAGGAAAGTATAGGAAAATTCTATAAAAATGATCTTTTCAAGAACAAAGTCATGATTAGTCATATTTATGCAGAAGCTCTTCTCTTCTCCTGGGTATTTAGCCAATGAACTAAGTGCATGATTATGATGACATAATGGAAATCTTCTCCTCTGCTTATTGGTATTAAAGAAACAAACTAAATGTATAGTTATAATGAGCAAGGATGCCTCTTCCAAAATCATGAAATGTGTGGTGGCAGGGTCAGGGTTTCCTTTGGGGTGGGGCTCTACTGATCATCATTATTTATGCATTATTTCTTTGATAATCCAGTGCTCTTCTGCTTCTGGGTATTAAGTAAAAAAAAAATTAAGCATGCAGTTATGATGAGCAAGGGTGCTTCTTTCAAAATTGTGAATTTTATAGCCTCTGATTCAAATCATGAACCAATGAATTGTGGGAAAGTTGTTACATGATACTCGGGTGACCTATAAGCAGGGATGGTAATTAAAGCGAGTAATTATAATTTACTGTATTTAAATACAGTAATTTCAAAGTAATTGAAAGTATTTGTAATTGAGTTTGCTTTCAATTACAAATAACTGAATGTAAATAAATACAGTGCTACCTCTGTATATTGCAAACTTTTGTCCAAGACAGATTTTGGCATTAAAGCAAGGGTGGCAATATAATGAATTCTGCCATATAGATATTTTTAATTTTTTTTTTATACCAAACTTCGGGATTTGCACACTAAATTGTGTCTCTTACTGACATTGAAATGAATGGACGAATCACAATATCTTTATTTCTTAAACCGTATTTTTCGGCATCAAGAGATGAAAGTATCAATCCGCTTTTGTAATACATGTTTATCATCTTAAAGGAGTGTCACAATGTAAACCAGAATTTTTTATTCTTGCCGTAAAATATGAAATAAATGCCTTTCTATCAAATTCATTTATAACTGAATGTAAGAAAGAAATCTGTCACCAGGATAAAAATAAAATCAAACAACTGAACGATGAAATGAACAAATGGAGAGGAAAACAAATAGAAAAGAAGATATACCTGTGATCTTATCTGCAAAAGAAAGGTTATACCATTTTGTATTAAATCTGTATAATACAGGTATATTTTACAGTCCATATACATGTACTTGAAATATATATTTAATGTAGGTCCTAATGTTTTCACATTTTGGTAACATGCCATACTCAGTTAAATATATGACCCACGTTTAAGTGAAAGTTCGATCCGTAATGTGCACACTTCACACAGAGCCGAAAGTAATCGTAGCTACTCGGCCGTTTCTGTAACCCCAAACTAACTCTTTTCCGGTTACGGAAAAGGACGAGCTTGACTGGAGTGAATCTGATGTCACAGTGGAAGTGACAATGGGAGCGTCTGCAGTGCCTTGTAAGATCGGAGGAGAATGCTGTAATACACCTTGTCGTGTTTATCTCCAAAAGTAATTTATTGTCGAGCGTTTCAATCTTTGATTCAGTGATTTTTATACACCCGTCTTTAGACGGGACGTATTATGTTATGGCGTTCATGTCCGTCCGTCTGTTCGTCTGTCTGTCTGTTAGCTTTTCTCGTTTCCGGCTCATAACTTTAATACTATTAGGCCTAGGATTATCAAACTTTGTCAGCTGATACTTCTTGGGTAGAAGGTGTGTCGAGCACTAAAAGTAGGTCGTTCTGACATTTAATTAAGATGCTATGGCCAAATATGGAAAAATCCTGTCTGGCTGATAACTAGAAAACTATTAGACTTAGAATCATCAAACTTGGCCAATTTATGCATCTTAGGTAGAAGGTGTGTCGCGACCTATTTCAAGGTCACTGTGACCTTTAATTTAAGTGAAATTTTTAAAAAAAAAACTATCTTTTTACTATTTAATTACACAATCCCAAAAAATGTAAAAGTGTTGCAGTATCCTTATCAAAAAATGTTAAAATCAAGAAAATACTAATTTTTTTCATTGTATACTTTACAGCAATCTATAAGAAATATAATGTTACAAGAGAAATTCCACCTCTCCCATGGGTGTAATTATCAAGCACTGGTCAAGGAGAATTTTGGTAACAGAAAATTGCATGTCAAATTAGAGAGAAATTAATGAGTTTAGTGTGAGGATCGAGCTAAGTGGTAGAGCATCTCTGATCAAGCAGGTGTTATCTATGTCTCTTGGGAATTGGGCAGAGGAATCAGCCGTGTTGGATTAAATAGTTTTTGTGGGCTAGCCTAACTTTTAAAATGAATTTGGTGAAAAGTAATTAGAACTAATTTGATATTATACAATAAACTAGTTTGATATTGTATAATAAACTAATTAATTAAAACTAATTATACTTGGGGGGGGGATATTGGAATTAGCATGCCCGTTGTCCATGTGAATTGCAGCTTAAAACCAGTCTGACATTGAATCTAAAGAAAAAAAAAAGAAAGTGTTTTAAAAAAATTAATTATGGTAGATAGTCCCTACAAATCTAAGAGTCTAGCAGAAACCTTATTAAAAATGTTGCATCAAGATTACAATTTTTTTTTCTTTTTATAAATCTTTGTAACAAATTGAAAAAAAAAATCTTTGTATTCACATTTATTTTCTGAATGACATAAATATTCATTTTAAATGCACTACAAAGCAGATAGCGCAGATCCATTCATCCCTTGGGAGTAATGAGTGGACATGCATCCAGTTAAAGAATAATTAATGAGTTCAGTGTAGGAAGGCTAGCTGTCTCAATCATTTCTGTTAGAGGATCTCTGATCAAGCTCTTATCTGTATCCTTTGGGAATTAGACAGAAGAACTGCTGGTCAGTTTATAGCATATGTCATTTGATGGCCAGATGGCCAGTTTTTTATTTTAAAATTAATTTGGTATAGATTAAGTTAAGACTAAATTGATATTGTTTAATTGATATTTTTATTTTATTTTTTGAAAACATTGACGAACAAATATCAGAGCATCATGTCTCACAAATATGAAAGATTGTGTGTGTGTCACTGTCACTGTGTGTGTGTGTGTGTGTGTGGGGGGGGGGGGGGGGGGCTGCAGATGGGTATTTGTCAAGCTCTAACACAACCAGTTGAGGATCGATAATGTTATATTTGTTATAATTCATGCCTACACCATAGGAAATGTATAAACAAATATTATAAGGAATGGAAAAATCTTGGAAATCCTTGTATCAAGGTTGACTTGATTTTCTTGCACTCTGAACTGTTTGTGATAATTGAACAATATTTGACGGGCGTATCATGCTGTGGCGGGGCACTTTATTTTTTTATGCGGCGGTCGATGCTTCTAGAAAGAGAACAGCAAGGTTAGTGAAGATTAACCTCAAAGGGTAACGTTAGCCTATAGAATTCAGTGATGGAAGTAAGATTTACGCTAGTTTGCATGGAATTATGTAATCTTTGGGAGTACAGTGCTTGGATAGTAATTGGAAAAACAGACATATGTTGTCTTTGATGGGTTCTTTACATTGGATCAGCAAGACATGTGTATTACTAAGCCCCATTACGGTTAGTTGTGCCAGGCATGACTAACCCCCCCCCCCCCATTATGCGTGCGCCAACTAACCCTG